GCCTGGTGAAGTGGAGGCTCACGACTCTATAGTAGTAGCATGCAACTCCTTGAAGCATGGTTTCAGAGATGATGGAGCTTTTCTTGGCAGTGGGAAGAGAGGGAAAACCCCTCAAAGTTGGACGGTTCAGATTGGAGGGGATGAACAAGAAGTGTCACTCAGAAGGTATCCATGTGGTTGCAAGAGGACACTCAGAGGGAGTCTGGATACACCTATGGCTTTGTCTTTCAATGAAAGAGCCAGCAATGCTGCAGAGACATCATGGAAGGTCTCAAAATGATGGTGTGAGAGCCAGGTGGGAAAGCAAGATGGGTGTCTACGGCCTGAAAGGAAAGAGCTGCAAGCATGGGACAGTGTGGGACAGCCTGCAGTCGAGATGGCCAAGGGGTCTGTCTAGGCTGAAAGGCCACACAGGGCCAAGGTCTTTGTCCCCTGGGCTAGGACACTTGCATCTGCCACTGAGGCCTACCAGGAGAAACTGGATTTGGAGGGTCTGCTCTTGATTTCTTCCTCAGCCCTTCTTGGACAAACCAGGACTTGCTGTACAATTTTCCTGCTCCTTGGCATTGCTCGCCCTCACACCCCACTGCCCCCAGAAAGAGCCCTGAGCCAAGCAGAAGGGACAGGATCTGCCTTCCCAGGGCCTGGGGAGTAAGGACTTGGCCTTTTGCTGCCTAAAACCAACCAAGGATCTGACAGAGTTACAGCCACTTCCAAAGGGCCTTTGCCTCCCTGCAATCATGGCCTCCAATGAGCTGCTCTAACGAGTCCCTGGGGAAGCTTTGTCAGTAATGACCCTCACTGGGGCCCAATAATGCTTCAAGGTACTTTGAGTTTGGCTTCTGACTTGGACTTCCTCAGAGGTTTCTTCCATCTCCTCTCTGTGTCTGAGCTTCATGGACTCAGCCCCAAAGACACCACGTGCTCCTGAAAATACAAAAAACCCTAATGATCTAATTATCTTCACTCAAAATTCTTCAAGTCTTCAAGGCTTGTCCAGCTCCTTGGAGAGGTTTTACAGTGTAGTGAAAGAGGAAGATTTCAAAGTCACCTCCTAAAATGATGTTTGATTTTCAAGAGTCTATTTTATTACATTTCCGTCTAGAGAAGAGGGGATGGCAGCATTCTGCAAGTGATAATGATCCCTCAGGAGGTCTCCCCAGGAGGTCTGGAGAGGTAGGAGGAGCAGTCCCTGGAGGTCTGATACCCTAGGGACAACCTTTCTCCACACCTCCCCAACCCCGCCATTGCTCTCAACAGCCCCCTGGCACTTCCATCACTCTTCCTGACATCAGACTTTTCCACTGAACTCTGCAGCTGGGTGCATATTTTAGGTAGGTGGATAAACAAAGGTAAATGGAAACACAATTAAAGAATTGTCTGAGGAGACAATTAGACTGCTGAAAGACAGGTGAACTTCTAACTCCCTGATGTCAA